GATGATGAAGGCTATAATTTCAGGGATCATTTCTATAGTTTGTAAATAAGGGGAGGATAAGTTCATTTTTAACAGTTGCCTTTGGCTTGGGAACTTATTCTTGATTCAGTAAATGTAGCCATGGTATCTGGATCACATGATGTGTTTGTCAGAATTCACTGCATTGCAAGCCAGACTCAAAGCGACTTAACAAAATAGGGAACTAATATGTGTTCAGGGACTGACCCTTCTTCAAGTAAAACTGGATTCTGGGGTTTGTTCTTCGTCACCAGGCTTCTGTTTCTTACCATTTGTAGGCTTTGCTTCTCTTGGTATTGCCTTCATTCTCAGACTGGCTCCTCTCAAGTAGCGGTAAAGAGAGCCATCAGCAGCTCCAAGCCCGCTTACTATCCCTTTGAAAACCCGGGTGAGAATTTCTCCTTAGTACTTAACAGCTAAATCCCTGACGTTTCATTGGCCTAGTTTGGATCATGTGCCTTCTCTCTGGTCCAATTCACTGTAGCCAAGAGAATGCGATGCTCTGATTGATCAGACCTGGGTCATGTGTTCGCCTCTGAACCAGTTCCTCCTAGACTACATGAACCAAAGGGGTGTTGGATTATACCTCCAAGGAAAATCAAAATACTATTATCAGAGAATGGAGGGAACGGATTCTTGATGGAAAAAACATGACAAGCATACACAATGTAAAGCAAGATAAGTTCAACGGAAAACAGCCTGTGGCTAGTTCCTTCAAAAGGGCTTTGCAGGGCAGACACTAAGCATTTCCCAGAGACCTTTGCAGTTCAGCCTAGCTCCACCCATTAGTGTCCTATGGAAGAAATATGTTTGTTACTCGCCCTCTTTCCTCAGCTACAAAATAAGTTGCTTATTCTGTGTGATTGCTAATGTTCTTTTATTCAACAGGATTCACTTATTAGGTATTTATTTAGCACCTATTATATACCAGGTACTATTATGGACACTTGAGATTAAGTAGTGAATAAAATAGACAAAATCCCCTGCTCTTATGGAACTTATATTTTAGTCAAGGAGTAGCCAAATTGTAAACAAAATAAATAAGTCCCATGTGTTATAAAGAAACACACAGCACTGCTGGGCAATGGTGTATTTAAAAAGGGTTGGAGCAGATGATACAGGTGAGGCACATGGTAAATGTTCAACCCATGGCATCTGTTGCTCACTCTCAGTACTGTTCTTATTATCACTATTGTTAGTATTTTATTTATTCTTTTATTATAATTACAATATTATTTGTTATTTATTATTATTACTGGTATATTAAAAACATTTGGTTAAAAAAAAAAAAAAAACATTTGGTGACCCTTTGGTGTCTCCAATATTAAGTACCCGCAGCTTAGCATATACGGCCCTCTGTGGGAGGTTCTGAACCTTTTTGCTAACTGAGATGTAATTCACATACCATAACATCTGCCCTTTTAAAGTGTACAGTTAATGTGTTTCACTATATTTATAAGGTTGTACAGCCATCACCACTATCCATTTTCAGAACATTTTAATGATCCCAAAAAGAAAACCCCACGCCCCTTAGCAGTCACTTTCCATTCCGCCTCCCGCAGTCCCTGGCAACCACTCATCTGCTTTCTGTCTCCACAGGTTTGCCTATTCTGGACATTTTATATAAATAGAATCACACAATACATGGCCTTTGGGGAATGGTTTCTTTAATTTGGCATAACGTTTTCCAGGTTCATCTATGTTGAGGCATGTGTCAGTAATTATTCGTTTTTATAGCTGTTCCTAAACTATTTTCCTAACCCCATTTCTTATGAGCCCTCCTTCACACCCCTTGGGTGAGCTGCACCGGAGTACTTTCTCTTCTCCAGTCACACGCTGCATTCACTGAGTTTCCGTTTCTTCCTCTTGGAATGGTTATACCCCCTCTTCTGACCTCTGTCTGTCCATTCAGGCTTTTTAAAAATGTCACCTCTTTATGAATTGCCCTGACTGTTCTCCCACCCTAGTGGGTCCCATCTCTCTTTCCCACACTCCTCCTTTATCATAACCAATGGTGCTTATTTTCTCTATATATTTAGTTAATTTTAACCCTTCTACTATACTTGTGACTGCCAGGAAGGCACCAACTTTTTTTTTATCCTTTGCCCAAAGTCTTGGACATAACTGCCAAATATTTGTTCACTTGCATAGCATTGGTATAACTCAGTGGTTCTAAACTAGGGGCGATTTTGCCTCCCAGTGGATATCTGGCAATATCTGGAGATATTCTTGGTTGTCCCAACTAGGGGGTGAGGTGTGCTACTGGCATTTAGTAAGTAGAGACCAGGAATCCTGCTGGGACCCCTCCAATGCACATAATAGCCCCCCACAACAAAGAATCATCTGGCCCATATTGGCAGTAATGCCACGGTTGAGAAGCATTGCCATAAACTAATCAGTGCTCCTTTTGAATAGGTTAGCAAAAAGAAATCAGAAGAGATCACTGTACCAGTCTGGCAGAGAATCTTATTAGGGAATTCACGCCTTTTTTTTTTAGGAGCTGGGGGTGACTCCAACACAAAGTTCTTTCCTAATGCCATAGAGTGCCCTGGGAGCACAGATGGTATTTTCACCACATGTTCGCCTCTGAGATTGACAACTGACCTCCCAGGAATCCTTGAAGTGCTAGGAATGTAACTCTGTTAAGGAAGAAAACTCGTAGGACTTTTTAAAACTATCAAAATGTCAAAAGTGAATTGTGCTCCAGGGGGAGGGCAGAGGAAGGTGTTTTTTTTAAAGTATCCTCTCCTGGCTCCCCCACGATGGTGAAACTTTGCAGACCTGGATCTGAAATAAATGATTCAAGGGAACCTCAGGTCCTGTCTCCTCAACTTTCCAAAAGTGCAAAGTTAACTTTGAGAAAGGATCCTGTTCACATTGTGCTTTTGTGAGCAACTCCTTTGCAGGAAACATTTGTAGGAAACTCAAGGCACTGATATCTTCTAACTGTGAAAACAGTAGCCCCATCAGAGCAAAGGTTACCAGCTTCAGAATAAAATTTTACATTCCTGCTCATCTAATCCAACTGGTTTTTGTGGGTGACATGGAAATCAGTAACATATGCCCTAAAAATGAAAGGTAGGAGCAGTCTGAAGGAGTTTGATGAGGCAAGGAATAGGGGTTGACATGCTATTTTAAAAAGTTTGTCCTTGGGGTAGAATTACCTGAGGGATTTGTTGGTGATGTGTGTGCTTGAAAGAACACCCTTTAGCACAGCTGGCATAGACATAATGCCAGGCAGAGGATCCGCAAGGCTCCACCTCCTCTTCTGGGTGCTCTCCATTTCTTGTGGGCCATAAAAAACAGCAAGGTGTGATTGCATTCTTGGGAACAGTGTATCATTTATCCAGCAAACTAAAAATCTATGTATTTGACAAAATGCCACTCACTATATGAAGTGATCTACTCAGTCCAATTTTGATGAAAATCCTTAAGGACAGAAATACATAGAGTACTTGGACACTGTGAACCACAAAAGTGTGTAAAATGATGACAGTAATTAGGATAATGGAATAATGTGCTTTGAGTTGATGGTTGGCAGTGCTTTAGTTATATTAAGAAAGGTATAAAAAAAGATCATGCAAAGAATGGATGGGAATCCCTCAATTCTATGGTTCTACACACAGAACTTCAGTTCTGTCAAAAGTGAACTGGAAGGACCAGTACTTCTGGGTCATATATATTTACATTTCATAAAACTAAAAATTATTCCAAATTGGATCACTTACCTCAAGTCTCGATTTTCTTTTATCTGTGAACCCCATTAATTCAATCATTCCTTATTCAACAAATATTTTTATATTACTTATGGTTCCTATTCAATTATTCCTCCTTTTATTCAACAAACATTTACAGACTCCCCTACTGTCTGCCAGGTATTGCATTAGATTCTAATAATCCAGTGGCAAATGATCCTTGTCCTTGTGGAGCTTAGGACCTAGTGAAATATTCATTCATTCTTTCATTCATTTGCTAAAGTATTTACTGTGTCCATATGTTCTGGGGCCACAGCAACAAAGAGCACAGGACTCTCATACAATGGCACTACATCTTGGTGGGTAAAAGGAAGAGGGAGATCATAGGTCCTGAGACAGCTGTGAGCATGGCTAGAGCCCAGTTAGTGAAGGGGACATTGTTCCAAATGGGCTGGAGAGGTATGCAGAGGCTTGATTATGTGCAGCCCCACAGGGCATGGTATGGAATCTGAATGTACATTCATATACATGTACAGACAATATTACAAAGATTTGGTGAGCTAATCTTCCCAATTAGATTACAAATTCCCCATTAAATTTAGTTATTATTCAACCTAAATAATTGCAGAAGGTTGTGCATAATAATAGTTAAAACCTGGTGAAGTCATCTACTGTGATACCTTTGTTAGGGGTGGGCTAAGAGCTTTAAAAAAAAAGGGCGGGGAATTGCCTTTCTTGCCAAGGGCTATCCTTTTGACCAGAAGAGGTGGCAGCTGTATAAGGAGAAAGAAAGGGGTCTAATCTTTGAAAGTCTTTGGCACTGCATGAACTCTCTGAACACCCAGACCAGAGGTCAGGAGAAGACCTACTTTGCCAGGGGGAACTTCAAGAAAATTATGTTTTGGGGCAAAGAAATTTGGGCTTTTAATTTTTCATTCCCAATTTGGCAGAACCATGTGCAAAGTCTGAAACACTTGTATATCACATATCTACAGTGGCCGTGCCTGTATCTCCATAGCTATAACGCTGACTCATTCACCCTCAGTCTAATAGGGACAGATAACATTTTTTCGAATTTTACTAAATACTATGCAAAACGGCTCTTTTTTCCGGATTGACGCCCCAAAACCAGTATGTAAATTCTGGAGCTGTCACTAGATTTGTGTACTTGAGTTTCGCAGTACACGTACTACAGAATAATACGACCAGATTCTGGTTTCTTTCAGGATTTTCTTTAAAGGGATGGTGGCGTTATTTAAAACAATAGCCTTTCAAAGACATGGTTAAAACAGGGGAGAAGGCTTTTAAACAGTCCATTTATTATTCTCAATAGCTTAATTTAGGTCCCGTGACTGGCGGGAATCCTCGTAGGTCCTGGATGCTAAGCAGCGAAGAGAGACTACAACTCCCAGGAGACATTGTGTCCACAGCCTCTGCGCACGTTCGAACTCGGGGATGCGTAAGGCAACGGGCCCGAGGGGGCAGGGCCTGGGCCGGAGCCGTGGGGCCTGGGCGGGGATAAAGGCGTGGCTGTTCGGGGGGCGGTGCTGCCGCCGGGGCCCGGACACGCTAGTGGAGCGGAAGATGGCGGCAGCAGCGGTGGCTGCAGTCGGGACTCCAGTCGGGCTAAGGCGGAGAAGCCGCCGGCGCTAACCTCGCTCTGGCTCCGGTGCGCGCGGCGGAGCGTGTGCGAGGCCCGGTGCGTCGGGCAGGGGCGGCGGCGGCGGCGACTGCGCGCCGCCCTGAGGAGCACTCCGGCGGCGGTGCGGCTGCGGCTGAGGAGAGAGCCGGCTCTGGGCCTCCGCGTCCTCCTGCACCCCGGGCCCCCCGCCGCCTCGGGGGGGCGGCGGCGGCGATGTTCTCGGTCCTCTCGTACGGGCGGCTGGTGGCCCGCGCCGTGCTCGGCGGTCTCTCGCAGACCGACCCCAGGGCCGGCGGCGGCGGCGGCGGCGGCGGCGACTACGGGCTGGTGACTGCTGGTTGCGGGTTCGGCAAGGACTTCCGTAAGGGCCTCCTCAAGAAAGGCGCGTGCTACGGGGACGACGCGTGCTTCGTGGCCCGGCACCGCTCGGCCGACGTTCTCGGTGAGTACCCGGCCGGGTTCCCCCGCCCCAGCCCCGAATCCGCCCCCTGGGGACTCCCCTGCCCGGGGCTTTCCCCATTTCTCCCCTCGGGGAGAGGAGCCGCAGAGCCAGTAGTAGCTCACATATAGGGAGTGCTTACTATGTGCCAGGCGCCGTGCCAAGCGCTCCCAGGTGCGTGTACCGCTTGAACAACTTCCATTTTAGAGATGAGGAAACTGAGGTGTCCGGCGGTCGAGCCGTATGTTCAAGGTCACACAGCGTGAGAAGACCAGTTTGTTCCAGTCTAGAACCGCACTGTTAGTCCTCTGGCTGTGCCAGCTCCCGGACGACCTCATCTCCTCCCCCTGGCGACACCTGCAGGCTCCTAACCTCCCTCTTGTTCTTTGCAACCCTCCTCCCTCCGCGTGTCCCGGGCATCCCTGCCCTGCTTCTCCGCCTGCGCCTGACGCCACAGCCCGGTCACGGGCTGCGGGATCCCGAGCAGACTGATTGTCGTGAGCCCAGACAGCCCTGCCGCATTCTTTCGCCGCCTGGCTCTGGACCAGATCTCCATCCTTTAAGGAGGCTCGCTGTGGGGGGCGCTGGTCTTGTGAGAAAAACACTCCCAGTGCATTTACCCAAACTGATCTTGTACACATGAGGTCACGAGGTGGAAGAAAGTCTCCTTGACCCAAAATAGAATGGTCGAACCCTCTTCTAGACTGCAGCCAAGGAAGTCTTGAGAATTGGTTAAAGCCTTTTTAGGCCACAGGTGCTTCCGAAGGCCTGTTTTAGTTAAACCGTTAGGGGGGAGAGACTTAGGGTAAGAGCTTGCAGAAAGAGCTAAGCGTAATTCACAAGCAATCCCAAACTTTACCATAATGTATGCCTTTGGAGACAATGTATATGCCATAAACTCATATGCCATTAAATCTTTTAATGATAAAGCACTTCTTTGAAATTGAAGGACATGCTGTCATTGAATTTGGGTTCTGATGTCACTCTGGTTTCACTTCTCAGGTGAGATTAAGTTTTCGATTATTCTAAATTTCATATGCTGAGGCAAAGTTTGATGTTGAAACAAATGGTCCTGTAACTTTTTATGACTAATTATTTTTTAATTTGATCTCAGTATAACTGCCTATTATTATCTTTGCTTCTACATGTAGTGCTTGTGAACATGAAACTAGAATGGTTGTTCTTAGTTTAATTTATGAATAATCTCATTACCTGGGTTGAAAAATAATTTTGTGTAGGCAACACTCTTGATCTTAGCTTTGGGGGTGGAGGGGGTGCTCCTTAGACCGTTAGGGAACTTACAGATAGAAATTGTTCAAATCCACTTTGAAGTCAACTTGACTGACTCAGTGTCTCTTTTAAAGGACTGTCAGTGGCTATCTTTTTCCATTACATTTAGAAGCACTTTGCTCAATGATCTTGTGATCTTGTGCTGCTTTTTTAAGTTGCAGTCACAGTGCAACAGGATAATGAACCACTAAGGTTCCCCCTTAAAAATCTATGTGCTGGCTTTTGTGAAAAATTTGTGATTTGATTGATGATTTGGGAATATTTTAATATGTCAAATCCCTATGCTAAAGCTTAATTTTAAAAAATTTGAAGGCTACTTTCTTAATGGAGTGGAGTACTATATGGGAAATTTTGGTCAAACCCATTCTAAGAAAAGTATAAACATATAATCCTGACAGAAACCCAGCCTAATTTGGTGCTCAGCTTTGCCAGCCTGGCTCTGCGATCTGTGATTTTGGGTAAGAGCTTCTGAGCTCACTTTTCTCTTCTAGACTGGAAGGATGAAGGCAGTGGACTATCTGACCATCAGATCATATTTTATTTTTGTTTTGAAAAGGTGGCACCCTTTCTTTTGCACCTCAAATAACAGGCATTACTTCATGTCTTATTCATATGGACACCTTAGGTAGATTTCATCTGTTTTATATCTGGTGTTAAACCAGTGATTTCTTAACTTTTCTTGGTTCACAGCCTTGAGAATTTTCAACTGCCCAGGGGCTCTCTGCCCAGAAAAATGTGCATAGAGACAAAATTTTGCATACAACAAAGACTTCACTGATCCCATCAGTACCATTCATATACCACCCAGAGGTCCGTGCATGGGTGCCAGTTTAAGAACCACAGCTCTATACCCCCCCTGAGAGCCAGGCATAATAACCAGATGGTTGCTTATGTGACCTAAGGATGGTCTTTGACCATATTTGACAAAAAGCTGTGTTAAGAATCTGTGTGTGTGTTGTATGCAAATTGGAAAAGAAAGGTTCTTTAGGACTGTCCTGTTTTGGAGGGGCTCTTCCAGAAAGTCATCTTGGGAGCCACATTAAACAGCTTCTGAGTTGACTTCGTTTGATCTTTGGCTTCCACCAAATCACCTATTGATGGTGATTTCTGTTTTATAGCTGCCATCCCATCAGGCAGAGCTGATTATCTCTTGACTGAAAAAGGTGATGAGCTTCAGCAAGACTTTAATACTGCGTTTTCCTTTCAAAGTTGGAGTTGTAAACTGAACTGCATTAAAAGGCTATGTTGAACAGACTCAGAGACTCCAAGAATGAACTAGTGGTTACCAAAGGGGAGGGGTGTGGGAAGGCAGGTGGGGAGGGAGGGAGAAGGGGACTGAGGAGTATTATGTTTAGTACACATGGTGTGGGGGATCACGCGGAGAACAGTGTATCACAGAGAAGGAACATAGTGGATTTCTGGCAACTTGCTGCACTGATGGACAGCGACTGCATTGGGGTATGGGTGGGGACTTGATAATATGGGTAAATGTAGTAACCACATTGTTTTTTCATGTGAAATCTTCCTAAGAGTATATATCAATCATACCTTAATAAAAAATTTTTTAAAAAAGGCTATGTTAAACCTCAGTGCTTTGAGCCTTATAATTCTATAGAAATTTCGTTTTCTTTATGTTGACAATGTGTTTATTGCTAAAGTACCTGTGCAGCTCATTGTGGTCATCTCGGACTCCTCCTTGACTTTTGGGAATGAAAGATGTTTATTTTTTGTATTAGAGAAAGCTGTTTTATTTCTTTAATTTAGAATTGATCTGGCCTATTAGTCATGCAGTGACTAAATGTACTTGGTACTTTACAACATTTTTGTAGAGTTCCCACTGGATTTCTTTTAGGAAAAACCAATTGTAGTGGGTGTGGTGAGCGGTAGAAACCACTCCTATCCCCTGGAAAATTGGCAAAGGTGCTTTCTCTTTATTAGGTCCAACAGGAGTAAACCCGTACCAGCAGGAGCTAAGTGCTCTCTTCTTCCTCTTCCCTGTGGCTAATCCTGAGTTCTCTAATTACTCTATAGGGCATGAATGCCTGAGTACACAAAAATATGAGAACTGACTACTGTGTAATTGCTGGGCCTCCCATAGCCCTAAGCTACTTAACAATAGAATCTAAAACTGTTAAGAGTTTTAAGACCTTTAGAAACCCGTGGAGTCTGATTCTTTTATTTTACTGATGAGAAAACAGGCCTATGGAAGGTCAAATGATTTCTCTTAAGTTTATTCCTCTGTTAATTAATGGCAAAAGTAGAGCTAACACCACCAGCTCCCCATTCCAATCCTCTTTCCGTTACATTGCTGGTCAAATTTTCTTGACAAGATAGGTGAATTCAAAACCAGTCTGCCTGCTGGTACTGTTTGCCCTAATGCTTTTCCTGCTTAAGGGTGTGTGTATGTGTGTGTGTGTGTTTACAACTTCTTTATTCACTCTGTGACTCATAATTAAAATGCAACAAAAACTTCTTCCCGTACTAAAACACAGTTAACTGAAACCACTTTAAAAAATGGCAGCACAGTCTATGCCATGTAAATTCTGACCTCTGAATATTGAATTGTAAAGTAATTCTTATAAACTGCAGGGTGTTTATTTAAGCTTGGTTTACCTTGAAGCCTTAAAAAGAAATGAAAACAATTTCATATTCTAGCATTTGGATCTGATTTTGATTGTGGCCAGGATATTGAAGTGTTTGTGAGTAATACCTGTTTTAAAAGTAGTTGTCTTAAGGTGTAAGGATTACGTGAACAATATGAAGATTAAATTTTTATCTAGGAAGTAAGATTAGGTAGAATTTAATGTATTCCAACAGTCTGGAGAAAGTCAGACTTTCTCCAGTGTCTGGTAGAACCTCTGTGTCTGAAAGTGAGTTTTCCTTTTAATAACAAAGTAGTCACATTGGGAGGTTGTATGGTGTGCTAATTTCAGCCTTTCAAGGAGTCCTCTTTGGAATTTCCCCAGCTAGATTTCAAGCTGTGTTAGGAAACCTGTGTTAGGAAAGCTGTGTCTCCTTATTATATAGTCATAATTTCCTGGAAGTCAAAATTCAGCCTGATCTACCCTTTGACAGTAGACATGATTGAATTTTTAAAAGTTGAGATACATAATTCACCTTCCATAAAATGAAAAATTCAGTGACATTTAGTACATTACACAAGATTGTGTAGCCACCACCACTAACTAGTTCCAAAACATATTCATCACCTCAGAAGACACCCCGTACCCATTAACAATCACTCTCCAGTCTCTCCTCCCTCAACCCATGACACCAGAAAGTAGATTCTGGCAATAGATTTCCCTATTCTAGATGTTTCATACAAATGGAATTATATAATATGTGGTCTTTTGTGTCTGGCTTTTTTCACTTAATATTTTTAAGGTTCACCCACATTGTAGTATGTATCAGTTCTCCATTCCTTTTCATGGCTGAATAATAGTCCATTATATAGACAGACCATATTTTGTTTATTCATTCAGCTGTCATTAATGTTTATCCATTAATGAACATTGGATTGTTTCCACTTCTTGGCTGTTGTGAATAGAGCTACTATGACACATTCATGTACAGGCTTTTGTGAAACAATTTTCCATTCTCGGGCATATAACCAGAATGTTGGGTCATATTCTAATAACTGTAGCTTTATGAGGAATATAGTTTTTTATATATTTATTTTATACAATTCTAATATATTTTTTTTCTTTTTCTTT